AGAGGCACTTACGTTGTCCAAGTTTTGCTGTTTTAATCTGTGTTTGTGTGGAACTACTATAGATTAGGATAATTAGCATCATCAAGGTTTCCAAACAGCTGCTTAGCGACTGACTAGTCAGTAGCTGAGACTATTAATAATGTGACGACCAAAACGTCTCTGGGAAACGATCTTATTTGACACAGCTCTTTCCAACCTTGATTTGTAACTTGTGCTGTAATTTTGGTAGGCATCACATATGGGTGTTCTGTACTAAGTAATGTCGCATTACATTAGCATTGAAAAACTAGTATATTCTGTTTCGTTTTGAGGATGATTTTGCATGGCTCGTGTATAAAGAAACTTCATTATACGTTTCGTGATCTTTCATGAGTATCGATTTTCAGAAATCAATAGAATTTGGGTAAGTATTCTTTTTCTTAGTATTCTAGAGGATCTTACGTTCTTAGGCTTATTATTAATGGTCCATCCAACTTCCGAGAGCAGATACTATATTTTACCCTATTTTAGTGTAGTTCAGATTTTGACGAAATGTCACGTTCGACAACGTTCATTCAAGTTGTTAGATATAACTTGATATAAATTATAATTATTTGTCTTCAGAGTATCGTAGCGTCGTATTTCTTTCGTTGACGGACTCTTATAAATTATATGGTGAAAAGAATTCAATGACCAGATCAGGTAACGATGATAAATTACTTTATTTCATACTTAAACGTTTCTACAAATTTGAGCACTTGTACACTTCCATAAGTTACTGTGGGCCTACGTTACACGTTACAGATAACTTTAGCTAACGTAACGCAAATCAGCTTATTTGTATATAAACAAAGTAATTGCGATAACTAACACTGAGTGGTTCACTCTCTATCGTCAAATAACTACACAATCTCTTTAATTTTATCCTTGACTATTTTTCAACCCACTCACTAACTAACCAAACGACAGTTCATGAAATGTCCAAGTTTGAATGTGCTAGAACAAAACTTGACTTAAAACCTTAGAACTTTCTAGGCTATCTATACTCTCTGGCTAACAATTTGCATTAAACATATAGCTTACAAAAGTATTCTCCAAGATCTGATATCTTGTAGAAAGGCCGCATTAGGCGAGGTCAGGAACAATCTGTAATTGAATACGTTTTATTTGTTGATGAAGAAGAGCCGGTCCAGATTTCACTGAACACAATGAAATTTTGTTTCTATATTTGTTTTTTGAGGGTTTATTACATGTAATAACACTATAACGTGCCCAATAAGTAACAAAACGTTTGTCAAGTTAACAAGGAAACTTTACATTAAAGTGCTGCAACTTTTTAATTTTTTTTGAATAAACACTGAAATTAAATCGTTCGTATTCTAGCCTCTAATACACATATACAGATTAGCTTGATATCGGTGTAGTGTAGTAGTTTCCTTCCATTATTTCAACCACATATTCATACAGGTTTTGTTTTTTCTCTTATTTGAATACCAGTTTTTCCTTTCTTTGTACTTTGGTACCAACTTTCTGTCTTCTTATTATACCTTGATACCAGTTTTCCTCTTTCTCTTTTTCTCATTTAATTTTTTCTGTTATAATTTGATACAACTTCCTTCTGTTGTAGTTTGTCACCAGCTTGTTATTCTCTTCCTGATATGCCTTGGTATAATTTCTTCTCTTATGATAATTTGGTACCATTCCTTCTCTTTTTCTTGGCCCAGCATGGCCTAAAGGTTAGGGTGTTTGACTTGCAATCTACAGGGTTCGAATCCCTATCCCACCAAACATGCTCACCATTTCAGCCATGGGAGGATTATAAAGTGATGGCCAATCCCACTAATCGTTGGTAAAAGAGTAGCCCAAGAGCTGGCGGCTGGTGGTGATGACTAGCTGCCTTCCCTCTAGTCTTTCACTGCTAAATTAGGAACAACTAACGCGTATAGCCCTCGTGTAGCTTTGCGCAAAATTCAAACCAAACCATCTCTTTTTCTTTTTGTACTTAAATACCAGCATTTCTTTGTTCTGTTATACATCATTGCTACTTTTGCCTCCATATTGTTGTTCTATAATAGTGTTACGTCTCCGTTTGTTAATTGATTTCCCGTAAATTCGTTCCGATGAAACTTTAACGACACAAGTCCTTACTTAATAAAACTGGTTTATTCTTTCCGAATATAACTTTTACGATAGACTTAATTTCAACAATCG